TCCATCACTTCAGCTATTGCACCAGCTACTACTAGCCAAGTATTAGGTGTGGCCCAGCTAGCCCATAATAGCTCCCTGGTGGCTGCTCAGCTAGTTCCATTGGTACAGTGGCCCCAGCCTCTGAGTCCCCACAGATTAGAATGGGAGCCAGATGCTTTGACCATAACATGCCGCAAAGAATGCGGTGACAGAAGGAATATGGGGACTTGTATGTCCTGTGCTGGCCCATCGTGAAGCAAAGCCTTTATTTCACCAAGGAATCTTCCTCCTACAGCTGTTAAGAATTCGGCTCACCTTCCACACACAGCCTCCAAGGCTACTCTGCCCCCTGCTAACTAACTAGCAGGAAGAAGAGAAGGCCTGTCAGTAGACACCCACTCTTGCAGCTCACACTCTGCGGGTGAGAACTGGATACTCAGCCCCCACACCTGCAAGGGGATCTGAGGAGCCCGGCACTCAGCCACTGTGCCTTCATAAACCTCTCCTTCATTGCCCTAGACGTGCACCTATGGTCTAACGCTCCACACGAGTGAAGGCATTGTTGGTCAGTATCTGAACCAGCCTTTCCTAGGCAGCACCTTTTGGTACTCATGAAAACAACTTTTCTAAACCAGGTGGTGGTGGTGCAAGCCCTTAATCTCAGCACTCAGAAGGCAGAGGCAGCTGGATCCCTGAGTTCAAGACCAGCCTGGTCTATATAGAGAGCAAGGTCCAGGACAGCCAGGGCTACACAGACAAACTCTGCCTTATTCTTCTCAAAGCCAGCACACCACTCCTAGCAAAGGACCTGCCCTCTGGCCTCGAGCAGGGGAAGTACTTACCTCCTTCAGCCCTCTTACCTATTTCCCTACATCAAGACTTCTTCCCCACACAGCAAATTTTCACTTCCTTTTCCCTTTGTCCTAGCAAGAGGATGCACACTTCCTTCTTCTTCCTTGGAGGCTTTCTTCTGCTTACCTTCCTTAGATTACTCCTGTCTTTCTCGTCTGATTTTAGTATTCTCATAGTTTCAATATCTTTGTCGTCTCATTAAAATATTAAAAAACTTGTGGGCTGAAACTGTTGGCTATGTGTCTTTTATTGTTTTCTTATTTCTTTCTTTTTTTTTTTTTCTTGACATTTGGGACAGGGTTTCTCTTTATAGCCTGGGCTGGGCTGTCCTGGAACTCACTCTGTGGACCAACCAGGCTGGCCTCAAACTCAGAGATGTGTCTGCCTCTGCCTTCCGACTGCTGGGATTAAAGGTATTCTCCACCTCTACCACCCCCCCCTCCCCCCCCCCCCCCGGCTCTTTTCCTTTTTTTTTTTTTTTTTTTTTAAGATTTCACTTATTTATTTGTGTGCCTATGTGTGTACTTGTTCCTCTTTGTGCCACAGAGCACATGTGACAGCCAGGACAACATGCAGGAAGGAGACACTTCTCTACCATATGAATACCAGGGATCCAACTCAGGTCATCAGGCTTGATGGCAAGCTCCTGAGCCATGTCACCAGCCCATATTTGTGTCTTTTCCTATGACAAATAGGTAGTAAGATTGGATACAGTTGTATCGGTTCATGTCATAGCTAATGATGGCACTTCAGTCCTTAAGAATTAACTACATTATGTTTTATATGAAAGAAAAGTCAAATGGTGTGTGTGTGTGTTCGACTTAATGCTTATGGGTGTACATATTGCCTTGTTGGAGAATTTGTTTCTTAGTTTGTTTCTTTTGTGGTTGATAAGTGGGATATGTAGAAGTGGTTATAGAGCTGGTAACATACAACTATGACTTCAGCACTTGAAAGGCCGTAGCAGGAGGGTCAGCTGTTCAAGACCCTGCCGAGAAGAGGAGGGAGGAGGGAAGGATTTGCATTGTGTTAAATATGAGTAACCTAGAGACAACTTAATTATGCAAGAGGGTATATATTGGTTACTGGTAAATATTAAGCCACTGGATAGTTGAGACTTTGGTGGCTGCAGGCTTTGTATTTGCAGGGCTTGAGGGAGAATCTCTACAGACACAGAAGGGCCTGTATATATGTGTAGGACAGTCAAGGTGATGGTTTTCCGAGAAATCACCAATATTAATTCTAATGCTGCATTTTATTATTGGTATTTTCATCTGATATGAAAACTATTTAGGTCTTTGTCTTCACATGTCCTTGGTTACAATTTTATGAGCTGCTTTTTTTTATTATTTTTTTTAACCTTGACTTCTGGTGTTTTCTCTGGGAAAAACTTTAAACAGAAGCTGGGTGGCCTTGAGGCACAGTTTTTCTACAGGCTTTGCTGAGTCATCGTTTCGTGTAAAATCCTAACCAGATCCCATATTGTTAAAATAAGGCAGCACATTTCCAAGGTTACCCTCTCCTTCTCTGTGGTTGCTCCCATGAACAACAGCACTACCTCATCAGGTGACATTTATTTTTTTATTATTATTATTTTTAATTACTCATATTTACATATCCATCCCCCATCAAGTGACATTGAATTATCACCTAAGTTTGATTACCTTTACTGCCCATATTTCAGATAAGAAGGAAACCCGTTACATTCAAGAGCAGATTGTCAAGGAATTTATTCACAAAGGACAAGTACAAACCATAGGATTTTCTTTATATAAAATTATAGCCAATGCCAGACGTGTAACCTCAGGCAGGAGAATTGTCACATGTTTGAAGCCAACCTGGGCTACAAAGTGAGACCAAAGGGGGAAAAACAACAATAAAACACTATTCAGTACCACAGGGGGAAGTCTAGAATATACTGTTGATGTCATAGTTTGCTGTTTGGTGTAATGATTTAGTTTAACTACAAAGAAATGCCTCTCTTCCTCTTTAAAAAAAAAAAAATTACATGCCAGGAAGTGGTGGTGCACGCCTTTGATCTCAGGAGGCAGAGACAGGCAGATCTCTGTGAGTTTAAGGCCATCCTGGTCTACAGAGTGAGTTCCAGGGACAAGCTCCATCACTACAGAAAAACCCTGTCTTGAAAAGCAAGAAATAGCAGGGCGATGGTGGTGCACGCCTTTAGTCCCAGCACTCGGGAGGCAGAGACAGGCGGATCTCTGTGAGTTCCAGACTAGCCTGGTCTACAGAGCAAGTACCAGGACAGCCTCCAGAGCCACAGAGAAACCCTGTTTGGGGGGGGAGGGGGAGAAAAGAAAAGAAGGAAGAGCAAAAACAATTACATTAGAGCTGGAGAGGTGACCCAGTGGATAAAAGCATTTACTGCTCTTGGAGAGGACCCAGCTCAGTTCTGACACCCCTGTGGCAGCTCAAAAACCACCTACCTACCTGTGCCTCCAGTTCCAGGGGCACTGTTGTAGTTTTTGTAGTGTGCACATCCTCTACCGATAGCTACATCCCTAGCCTTGAGTCACAGTTTGATGTTGTGTGTGAACTAGCCAAAACAAGCATTTATCTCAAAACTAAGTAGTTAGTTAATAAGGACATATTAGACCAGCGATGCCCTGTGGCACATATGAAAATGCCACAGTGGGACCCATTAAAGTGCTAACTTTAAAAATATTTTTTGCCTAGCACAGTATCCTAGCTGCTTATCGGGACACTGGTGTGGGTGAGAAGAAGCAGTGGGTGTTCCTGGGCTCCTCCCGTTTTCCATCTGTAGATGGTCCAGCTGGCTAGCCCATCCCACAGTCGGGCAGCCTGGATCCACACTGCTGCAAAGCGACCTTGGGACAAAGCCCTTTACCTTTCTGCCACTATTCCTTTACCTGTGGCAGAAGCAATTGCATTTCCCAACTCATAATGTTGTTAGAGGGGTTGAAGGCGTTGTTGCTATATTATGTACTTAACCGTCCCAAGTCCAGTGGTTGGTGTAGGGTTGTGTATTTGCTTATATTGCTGAGCAGGGCAACAAACAAGCAAACCAAAAAGAAAAGAAAAAATGGAACCTACTTGAAAGAAAGTGTATCTGCTTGCCTTGAAGAAAGGGTATAAATTGGAGAGAGGGAGTGAGTTTAAGAGCTAATCTGGCCTCTTCTATGAAAGGATGTAGTCCCCAAAGACAGCAGAGAGTGGGGAACTAACTAGGATGCCCTCGTTTAGCAGGCAGGAAGGAGTGAAGGAAGACACTAACCTCAGGTTCTCAAACAGAGTGACTGGTTTTATGGATTTGTCATTTAAGCAAGTAAACTGTCCCATGATAGTTCCTTGGTCTGTGAACATTTTCTGTACATCAGAAAATAACAATGTGCAGTTTGTTTATTTGAGGTGAGGTCTAACTGACCTGGAGCTTGATATGTAGACCAGATTATCCTTGAAGTCACAGAGATTCACCCTTCTCTACCTCCCAGGCGCTAGGATTAAAGACATGCATCATCACACCAGATAAATGAAAAAATATAATATACCCTTTTTTGTATTAATTTATTTTTTAAGATTTATTTTTATTTCATGTGCATGTATGTCCATGTGAGGGTGTCAGATCCCCCTGGAACTGGAGTTACAGACAGTTGTGGGTGCTGGGAATTGAACTGTATCCTCTGGAAGAGCAGCCAGTACTCTTAACCACTGAGCCATCTCTCCAGCCCTGATAAATTCAAAATTCTGAAGACCAATGAGCATTATATATGCCACCATGTCTTGTACTCTTTTATTTGTGTGTGTATTGAATGGTTCTTTGACTCTGGTTACTGAGTTACATTCCACCAGACCTCAGAGATTTGTTGTTGACTCTTGTATCTGAAAACACTTGATGTAGTTATCCCACAAACTCATACATAATCCTCTGCGTTGAACTCCAGTGTAGTATATATCCAGAGATGTATTTTTTTATAAAATTACTCAGAACAAATAATTTCTTTTTTAAGCCATGGTCCCACTCTGTAACCCAGGCTGATACGCAGTTCACTCACTGTGTAGCACAGACTAGCCTTTAAACTTGTAGGGAATCTTCCTGCCCGGGCATCGCAGATGCTGAGATTGAGGTGCGAGGCCCCAGGCCCTGCAGTTGTCTTAGCCAATTGTTTCATGAGTTCTTTTATGACTTCCAGGTCCGCTGGATGATGTACTGGATCGTCTTTGCCCTCTATACTGTGATTGAAACGGTGGCTGATCAGACACTTGTATGGTAAGGTCCACCACTCCGAGAGACTCAGGCGCTCTCAGGTGTCCTGAGTTCTTAGCCCGCTCTTGCTTCTTTCTCATCGTGAGAAACAGATCAAGCAATTTAATTACCCAGCATCGTTTTCTTCCTCTGTCTTCCCCGTGACAAGTGCGCTTTCTGCGGAGCCCGCCCTCGTGAAGGCAGCTCTCTGTGCTAATCCCTGCCCACCTCCCACTCCCACCAGCGTCTTAAAATAGAGAACCTGGCTGTCATCATCCGCTTTCCACACTCATGACTTCAGACTGTTTTTCTCGGTGGTTTCCGAAATGACTCCTCTCCAATCCGCAGCATCTGGTGGTGGCCCTCCCTCCTTTCCTTCCCAGCCCCAGAGCTCTGAGGCAGGCACGCATGGACGTCAGCAGCCACGTGGACACCCGCCCACTCGACAGCAGCTCCCTGGCGGCTCTAGCAGAGCAACACGAGGCGTAATTACAACATGTTCATCCCCTCATTGAGTTCACAGTTTGTAGAGGACCCACACTGAAGGACTCGGATCTCCTCGGGTGGTATTTCAGAGTACCTTTCCATCCAGCCGTGCCATTAGAGAAGTAAATGGAAACCCGAGATCTTGCCGGGTTTCCAGTTCCCATGCCCCATAGACTGCAGCTGAAATTAATCCAGTTGTCCTTTGTTTACCTGAGCTACTAAATGAAGCCAGATCGATATATAGGTAGGTAGGTAGGTAGGTAGGTAGGTAAGTAGATAGGTAGGTGATTGATTGATCGATCGATCGACCAGACTGTGGTACCTACCTACAGGCACCTGGCTGTCCCTTTCTATTCCTTCTTCTGCCTTCTTTATACCCTTCCCGGTCTCATATTCTCATAGAACATTATATCATATCATCACATAGATTTGTAGGAAAAATATACACTATCAGACTTCACTATTATTATTATTCTTATTATTATTATTATTATTATTATTATTATTATTATTATTATTTTGGCAAGATCTCACCGTGTAACTCTAGCTATCCTGGAATTGGCTTATGGACCAGGCTTGCCTGGAACTCGAAGAGATTCACCTGCATCTGCCTCCCAGCGCTGGGATTAAAAGTCTGCACCCAGCTTCTCTTAGCTTTTAACCGACAAAACCAAGATTCTTAACCATTTGAGGGGTCTCGAGTTTCAAATGCCTTCCTTCCTTCCCTTCCCTATTTATTCATCTGTTTCCAGGCATGATCTCCGGTAGCCAAGGCCGACCTTGAACTCCTGATACTCCAGCCTCTACCTTCTAAGTGCTAGGATTACAGGCATGAACCACCTGTTTTGTTTTGTTTTGTTTTCTGCATTGCTGGTGATCAGACCATCATATATTAGAATGCAGACCCCCTTTACCAACTGAGCTACATTCCCAATTCCCACAGTTCTTTTTTCTTTTTTTTCTAATTTCAAGTGTAGTTTATTTGCTGAAAATGTTAAAGATGTTGGATGTTCAAAGTTGAGCTGACAGGTGGTTCGTTCTAAAAAGGCGCTTGCCACACAAACCTTACAACCAGAGTTCAATATGGGTCTCGTAGTGGACGGTGAGCACTGCTGGTGTTAGCATCCACCCATGCCTCCTCCACACTTGCATGGACACACACAACCGTCATGGTTTTGTTTTTCAATACTGGGAGTTCATGCACTCTATAAAGTTGCACTGTGGCGGAGATGATTTGCTTACTACACAGTAGTGACTCCTCACTGCTCCCCTGCCTATCTGCCTTACCATAGAAACTCAAGACTTGGGGCTTGCTGTATCGTGGTACCCAGTGGTCATCTCACACCGTATGAGTTAGCGTTTGGTGTGGTAGCAGGCAGCCCTGTGAAGCACAGTGGGTAAGAAGAACAGACCTCCTTGTCTTGCTTAAGTGGCCTCAGGGCAGGGATTTGGCTGCCCCTTTGCTGGGCTCAGCTCCATGTCTTCATTCAGAACCAAGGCTTCGGAAGGAAGGATTCCCATGGCAGAAGCTTTAGCAAAAGGTTGGGAGGAGCTGGATAAGAGTGTCAGAGAGCAATTAAGACTTATGTGTCTCTGTCACATTCACAGTCAAATCACACGCATGGGCCAGGGTTGGAGAAGTAACTCCACCCATAGGAAAGACCATGTCGGACATGGGTCCTTGACTAATTTCCAGGCTGCTTCTATGCTAATTCTTCATACGCTTTGGAATTTGGAAGAAGAACTGAGGTGCACGTAGGACAGATGAAGTTGTCCCCTGCTGTCTGCAGGTGTGTCCCATACTTCTGGGACAGTCCCTAGCTGCCCTGACCATTCCTTTTGAGCCATTGTAGTCAGTTCAGGTGCTGTCCTGTGCAAGGTGTCTGTCCACAAGGATGCTTGCAGTCCTTGGCCAGCTCATCTGTGTTTTAATGGTATGAACTCATCAATAAGTCCCATTGTGATTGTTTCCCTCGGCAGCAAACTCCACATGTGGAAACAGATACGATGATTTTGTGATTTCCCTGCTTTTTGTTGTTTTGCTTCTTACCATATTTCTTTCTGATTATTTCTTTGTTTTGTTTCCTGTTAGGTTTCCATTGTACTACGAGCTGAAGATTGCCTTTGTCATTTGGCTGCTGTCACCCTATACCAAAGGGGCGAGTTTAATATATAGAAAGTTCCTTCATCCACTTCTCTCTTCAAAGGAAAGGGTAAAGTATATCAGTTATTTCCAAACCCTACCCAGTGTTATGAAAAGAGGCTTAACAGTAGTTCTAAATAAAACTAGCAGGGCATGGTGGTGTACACCCCAGAAGGCAGAGGCAGACAGAGTGATAAGTTGTAGGCTAGCCTGGCTTACATATCCAGTTCCAGGCCAGCCAGGGTTAGATAGTAAGACCCCCATCTCAAAAAACAGACAAAAAGCCTGAATAAACAAACATCTATGTATGTGTTCTTATTTCTGTTTGCCAGTTTTTGTTTTTAAGACGGGAACTCGTAGTGTGGTCCTGGATGACCTGGAACCCCTATGTAGACCAGGGTAGCCTCAAACTTACAAAGCTCTTCTCCAGAGGAAGATTTAAGGCATGCATTACCACACCCAGCTTAAATATTTTTTTTTTTTTTTTTTTTTTTTTTTTTACTTGGGGCCTTATGTAGCCCAGACTGGCTTTGAATTTACTATGTCACTGAAAATGACCTTGAACTTTTGCTCTTTCTGCTCCTCCCTCCCGCCCTACTGGGATTACAGGGCTATGCTACCACATCTGAGTTTACTGTTAACTGTTTGCCCCCAGGAAATTGATGATTATATTGTACAAGCAAAGGAAAAAGGCTATGAGACGATGGGGGAAGGGTTTGAAGGGGGGGGCTGCAGCCGCTGTCACGGCAGCAGTGAAGGTAAGGTTTCTTTGTCATCTTTGGTTTTCCCATCAGCCCATACAGAAAGGTGGCCACTTTTATTTTAGATCGTTATAAAACTGTGACAGAACTCTGTTTTATATTTATTTTTGAACTTGAATAAACAAGTAGGTAAATTTAATATTTTTAATGCTTCATTTTCTATGCTATTTAGGAGTTCACAGCTCTTAATTTATTATGAAATTAGAGGAAGCTAATAAATAGAATGTAACAGCAAATGTCATTTTGTGGTACAGTTTCCCCCCTTTTAATCTTGAAATAGTTTTGATAAATTACCTTAAGTAAAGATGACCATTCTTTTCTCTGTGTCTTTGCTCTCTCTTTCTCTCTCTCTCTTTCTCTCTCTCTGTGGCACTGCCTTGCTAGGATTTCTGGCTTCCTTCTGCACTTCTACTTCAACCAATTTGAGGTAACTGGTTATTCAAAATAAAGCATGTAAAAAGTTTGTTCTGAGTCGCTAATGTCATAGCTATTCTCTCCAGCCGAGTTACTGATTGAACCAGCCTTCTCTGGAGACTGGCGCTATGGCTCTTGGGCTCCTTTGCATGTAATAATTGGTGTGGTTTATTTTCAATAGCATAGTACAACTGATTTTAGCGTGTGGTGTATGAGAAAAAAACAAAAAACAAAAACAAAACTGTGTCACAACCAGAAGGTGCTGACTGACTTTTGAAGTCACCATAAGCAGTTTGCTACTTTGTGTGTGCCTTAGTTGCTTTGTGTATAAAACAAGGGTGATGTATCTCTGAGAGTATGTGATAGCACTGTGCTTGCTCATATTGGAACCTGGAATCCTTAATTTCATTCTGATGGTTTACTAATATGAAGTGAAATGTGGATGATTAGTATTCTACTTTGGAGGCAGGCTCTTTTGTTTGTTGTTGGTTTAAGATTTATTTATGTCTCTGTGTGTGTGTGTGTGTGTGTGTGTGTGTGTGTGTCCGTGTGTGTCCGTGTGTGTCCGTGTGTATCTATGAGGATATAATGCGTGTACGTGCATGTGCCCAAGGAGTCAAGAAGCATTGGGTTCCCTGGAGCTAGAGTTACAGACAGTTGTGAACCTCCTAATGTGGATTCTGGGAACTGAAACTGGGTCCTCTGTAAGAGCAGCAAGTGCTCTTAACTTCTGAGCCAACTCTCCAGCAGGCTCTTCTTAACTGAACTGTGCTATGCAAAGACACACTTCAGGTAAGCAGTGATTTTACAGAACTGCAATGGTGAAAGAGGGTTGCGGGAGAGCACTTTAACTTTGCAGAGACCTTTGGCTCACCTTCCCAAGTTGACATAATCAAAAAGTGAGAACTCAGATGTTCTTCCTGGTAGTATTATAGTGAGGGCTAAGTAGAAATTCGTTAATAGGACATAGGTAGATAATTATACTGATAATGGCTATTGATTTTTGTGTAGTAGTGTACTACAGTGTTTACTACTATACAGTTTCCCTTTTACCAGACGTGTAAGGGCTTTTCTTTCATTACATGGGTGAATAAACTCTAAAACAGTATCATTTTGAGCTTATTGGAGTTTACTTGCTTTTTGTCTCTTGCCTAATGAGAATGCATTACTGATCATACATCCACCATAAAGACCACCCAGGAAATCCATCCTTCACAACTAGACATTGTGAAAGGGGGACTGATGCGGTTATCAAAGAAAAGAAAAATCATGCAATGTGTTGCAGTGTTGAGGGCAATGAACCTCCAGATCAAAGGGCCCGTACATCACCGAGCACCACAGGGCAAAAACTGACCAACTCCAATCAAGGCATTGAGTCCCCCACCAAACCCCAACAAGGACAGAATTCTTAAAGATTTCAGAGACTAAAAGCACATCGTGTTCCAATGATAACTCTGGCCCAAGTCCTATACTGGTCAAGCCTGTCAATGAGTCGTAAACTTAAAATAATTGAAAAAGAATAAATTTCAAACCCATTAAATGTACCAAGTTCACGCCTTTATCGGGGCAGATATGTTCTGTGAAAGCGAAAGGGGGTGGGGAGAGGGGGAACCCATGGGATGTGGGAAATAGGTTATTCCTGCATTGAAGGGAGATGACAAAATTCCCTAGAAGGACTGAGTAGACAGCCAGCAGTGGGTCCTGTGGATGGAAGATGCTAACAGAGATGCTTTACAAGAGAATAGAATAGAATCAGCTTGATGCTGTGCAGGGGTGACACTTATCCCAGCTGTGCATATGGTGTGACCCATCAAAGAACTCCCTGGGTGCAGTGTGTACCTGTGTAGCCACAGCCCTGAGCACCATGACAAATGTACTGGGGACTATGCACAGAGTAGGACAACTAAGCAAATGAAAACCCAAAAGGCATTTATTAACTCTGGGGGGAAAAAAAATTCTATGAGAAGCAAAATACAATAATGGAACTTGGCCCAGCCCAGCAGTAAGAAAAACAAGAAGAATTTTAACAACAGTCACGGTGCTATGTTGAGAAATGGGATTGGGGGAAGGGACTGAGGTAGAGGAGAAAACTCTCCCTCTTGTAACTCTCCCCTTGTAAGTTGGAGGGTTTAGAGTGATTGCATCTAGAGGGGTGTGACCACAAGTGGCTTGCTGCTTCCCAATTAAGCTCACCATTGTTTGACTTTGCAAGCCACGTGAATGAATACATTGTACTTACACCTCAAAGACATTTCAGAACTTGCCTTATTTTTTGCAGATTTTTTTTATTTGAATTAGGAACAAGATTGTTTTACATATCAATCCCAGTTCCCTCTCCCTCCTGTCCTCCCCTACCACCACCTCCCAACTAAAACCCTACCTATCACATGTCCTTTCTGCTCCCCCTGGAGGGTGAGGCCTTCCATAGGGTGTCATCAGAGTCTATCGTATCCTTTGGGATAGGACCAAGGCCCACTCCAGTGTGTCTTGGCTCAGGGAGTATTCCTCTATGTGGAAGGGGTTCCCAAAGTCAATACTTATGCTAGGGATAAGTACTGAACTACTACAGGAGGTCCCATAAACTTCTGAAGTCTCCTCACTGACACCCATGTTCCTGAGGTCTGAATCAGTCCCATGCTGGTATCCCAGCTATCAGTCCCCGTTGTTCGGGTCAGCTGTTTCTGTGGGTTTCAGCAGCCTGGTCTGGACCCCTTTGCTCATCACTTGTCCTTCTCTGCAACTAGATTCCAGTTCAGTTCAGTGATTAGTTGTGGGTGTCTGCTTCTACTTCCACCAGCTGCTGGATGAAGGCTCTAGGATGGCATATAAGGTAGTCATCAATATCATTATTAGGGGAGAACATTTAAGGTAGCCTCTCCTCTGTTACTTAGATTGTTAGCTGGTGTCATCTTTGTAGATAGATCTACAGACATTTCCCTAGTGCCTGATTTCTCTGTAAACCTAAAATGTCTCCCTCTATTACAAACTTGCTTTATTTAAAAAGCATCATTTAACAGGATCCTGTGTAGAAAACTACAAATTCAACCTCAACTTTAAATGTTCATTAAAAACACGTTTGAGGACGCTGTTTTAGTAAATATAGAAAGAAATCCCCGTTGTTCCCCATTTGACACTGAGAAATATTTCTGATGTGTTTTCTCGCTTGTATGTATGTGTGCCATGTATATGCCTGGTGTCCCAGAGGCCAGAAGCAGGTGTTAGATACCCTGAAATGAGAGTTAACAATTATTGTGAACTATTTCTTATATGGGTACTGGAAACTGAACCCATATCTTTTTATAAGAACAGCAAGTATTCTTAACCACTGAGTCAGTCATCTCTCCAACTCCTAATACGTATTATATATTAGAACAACTTGTAGGGTAGTTACTACATCTTGACTTATATTTGCTAACCCTATTACTGCTTCATGGAGAGTCAGCAACCCTCACAATGCCATTTTGTCCTTATTCCCTCATTTTATCTCAGATTTTGCCTTCATCAGTTTTTACCATCCTATATATCGCACACTTAAATCTCTCCATTTAACACCTAGTCTAAGATAGGCGCTGACGCAGTCTAGGGTAATTTGGGTCAGTGGCCTCATAGACCACTTACTATCTGACTATAGTCAGTGTCTCTGTATTAACCCTTCTTTTGCTTGCTAAGACCCTCTGTTACTAAATAACATCTCAAAGGAAGACTTTTCTATAAAAATGCTGCAAAAGATAATCCTGCATCTACTTCCTCCTTTGTGATTCGTGGATTTCACTTCTATATTTAACCACTCAAAATCAACCCTCCACTCCCCAGGCAGCAAACAGACACTATAAAATCACCAAAGTCACTACTACAAGACAAGCTCACCGCTGAAGCTCACTGCCCCACTTGCTCACATTGTTCTTTAGCCAAGAAAAAAGATATGATGTCATGTTCTCATGACTCCAGGAGTGCTAGACACTCAAATCTTGGTTCTGTTGTGTCTATTAGAAATAGTCAATAACTGTGTTGAGTACTATGTAATGTTAGCTCTGTTGGCCTCAAGGTTTTTTTTAAGTGGTTGAAATTAGTTTCATCTCTGGAGACATTTTAAAAAAAAAAAACTACTGTCACAAAAGAACTTACAGGCGTTTCATATTCAAATAAATTAGAATCAAACTAAGAAATAGGTCAAGATTAAAGAGAAACTGAAAGAAAAACAATAACACAATTTGTGTGTTGTTTAATATACATATTAACATATACATATGTATATGTACATATCATGTATAGTTTGTTAGAAATATCTTTCAGGCTAAAAATTCTTGCACTTTTTATGTGATATTTAGATAGTGGTGATTTCCTGCCTAGGATCCCCAGGTTGAATCACCTGAGCGTGTCAGAGATGAAAACAGGAATCTAATCAGAACATTTATTACACCGTAAAGCAATTTTCTGAAAATGCTACTCAGTCCTCTGGCCTCATTACCAGGCGTCTGCTCACAAGGTCAGTGTACAAGTTTACTTTGGCTGAGCCAAGCACAAATACATGAAGGACCTTCAAGGATTCTGCTGAGGATGCTCAGCGTCCCGTCCCTGCTTCC